AATTTATCTACAGAGCTTGCCAGACCAAGAACTCTCCAACGCCGTAGAAAGGATGATGGTGCAGCCAATCCCGGAGTACCTACTGTAACTGTCTTCAGCTTCTCAGGACTAGAACTCTTGATTTCAGCTGGCAGGTGGTTGAAACATTTGGCTCCGATGTAAGAAGGCTTACCGGTACCCTCATATCTTTTACTGTGGTGTGTAGGCAGATTAAAATTACAGGCATGCCGGGTAAAGTGCTGGTGAACATTATCATTCCGTGGTAATCTTAATTGATTTGCAGGCTATGGTGACAACTTCAAGTATGTAAGTATTTATTAGTGTTAATATCTTCAGGTCCACAAAAGTCCGCCATAACACGAACAGCCTCTTTCTGTTTCTGCAGAACTAACACACGTTGCAGGTTTTTCCCAGCAGTGGCGCCCCAAAGAGCTATTCCATATTTAATGTGGCTGTCCAGTAAAGCAAAATAGGCGGTTTTTACTGCATCATATGTGCTATTGGCTTTAATGTGTCTTAAAGCATATACGAGTATACTGCTGCTTAATTTCTGACAGAGGCTGTCGATGTGCTCGTCCCATCTGAGACTGGAGTCTAATATTATTCCAAGGTGTTTAACGGATTCAACAGATGAAATGTTTGGAAGTTCTGATATTTTTTCTTTTTCCTTTCCCATGTTGAACTGCCTAGTTTTAGTCTCGTTGAATACGAGATCATTTCCAGAGCAGTATTCAATAGCTAGTTCCAAGGAGATGAACGAAAAATACCTCAAGATCTTCTATACTGTGACTGGAAGATAATAAAACAGTATCGTCAGCATACATCATTGCTCTTCCGAAGTTCTCTCTGTATGTGCAGGAAGGTCAAGCGTGAATAGTGTGAAGAGGACAGGTCCCAAAACTGAGCCCTGTGCCCACACCTCTACAGATAGGGAGCAAAGACGATCTGGGGCCCATTTCATAATAAACTACAAGTTACAACTTGTAATTTCCATTAGATTTGCATTGGGCGATCAGCTGATTTACTAATAATATTAGTTTGTACTTTATTATGAAATCGTCAAAGTTGATTTCTTCTTTCGGAAGCCGTGTTGATTTTTTAGGTCGATGCATCCTTGCTAGGTGGTCTTCGATTCGGGTGAGTATAACTTTCTCAATAATCTTTGAGAAGGTAGATACCAAGGAAATAGGGCGGAAGTTCCCATTAATAAAAATTTATAAAAAAAAACAATACAAAACTTACAATAAAACTTGGTAAAACTCAAATCCAGACAGTAAATGGAAATTCGCTTAGTCTGCAGGTTTGCTGCGGTGGGGGTATTCAGATATACATATTATAGACGGGCTAGTCATATACATACTACAGACATATAGACTGACTTGCTAGTATTATAGGATAGGATACTGAAGGTGGGTTTTCCTATGTCCTATGTTTTCCGGTGTTGCGGGGTATACACCGAGTGTTGAACCTGCGGAGTCCGCTGAGCACACAATACACAGTAATACGTATAAAGGTCGATTCACACACATCAGTCCAGTCACAGTTCCGTTACAGTCCAGTTGCAGTCCAGTTACAGTCCAGTCACAGTTGCAACCGCAATTTCTCAGTCAATTGTCCGTCAGTTGGTTTCAGTCAGTCTTCCGTCTCTAATATTTACCGTAATTTACAGTCAAAAAATTAAATTTTAAACCTATATTCTATTAAATTATCATTGTCCATCTTGTTGATTGTTACAAACAGTACTCAAAATACAAACGCAACCATTTAAACAACAATAACACTATTTTCTAACCTCAAACAGTTCCGTCAGGCGTCCGAAGAATCAAAAAGTATCGTTGGAAAGAAATCTGAAATTGACTGACGGATGCCAGCAGAGTGACTGACGGGACTGCAACGGGTGAGTGTAGATAGCGCAATAGAAAATCCATCAAAGAATATTTTTGTTAACTGTGACGTGCCTGAAGTGACTTTACTGTGACGTGCCGTAACTGATGTGTGTGAATCGACCTTAAGAGTGTTTTCCTAGGAATCGTACGCCACACCACGCCAGCGGGGTTCAGACTGCGGGCCGCGCTGACTCATTCTAGAGGAGTCTACGTCGCAGTCCGAAACGGGATTGCGAGGAGTTCGTGTTGTTGAAACTTGAAGTCCACACCCCGCAAAGTCTAGAAAAAACACTAGCCCGTCTTTGTCTGCAGTACTGCAGTGCGGTCTAAAAAATCATTGTATACCCCGCAACTCTCTTCTGATTTGCAGCTTGTATCTCTTGCGGTGTGCCGAGACTTGACCGACTTCATGCTCCTTCTGAAAATAATCAGAGGTCTTCTATTTTGTCCGGACATCCTGTCAAAAATTGACTTCAAAATACCGTCTGGCACTAGGACTAGGGAACTCTTCGTTCGAAGACACTACAACACGTCTTTCGACTTCCACAGCCCACTAGCTCGTCTTGCCAGGCTTGGAAACCGTGTTGCTCCGGACTGTGGCCTGTTCTGTGACACAATTTCTCATATCAGGGCCCTGTTTCATAAAAATACTAGTCTAGTATTTACTAGTCCATGGACTAGTAATACTAGTGTATTTTACAAGTCTACGTTTCAAAAACCTACTAGTGTAAAATACTAGTTACTAGTGTAGGGACTAGTATTACTAGTGGTTTTTACTAGTGTAGACAGCAATGTGTTTCATAAAGTTTTACTCTTGTAAATTACACTAGTAAATACTTGCTATTTTCTACCAACCTCTCTTCACCCGTATCATTTGAAGTAGACTAGTATTTTTGGAAACAGAGCTATTTCATTACTCACATCATTAAAAAAAATGAATTATTAAGTTCTTTTTGCAAGTGCGAATTGGCTCACGAATAGATCTGTGAGTGCTAAAATGACAATTATTAGATATAAATTACAATCAATAAATGTGGCGTGGTACAAAATGAGTGAAATTCAATTTTATAATGTATGTACAATCGCCCTATTAGAACAATTATGATTAAGTTATCAATTTCTGTGAATTTTTAGTCTAATTTTACTTGAGTTAAATTTCATGGTTATATCAACTATTTAGCTATCACAGAGAAAAAATTTTTAAGCTTTGATAGGAACCAAATTAAAACCGCATATCGTTTTGAATACAAAGATGTACAAAAATGTATTAATCAGATTATTTTACACCCAATTAAGGCTCTCGGTTTTATTTAAAGACATTTTAATAGGAAATAATAGTAAGGCAATTTTAAAAAGGAGTTGCATTGTATTTTTTGAGGTGCTTATTATTTGCTTCCGTAAATAGCTAAAACCTTGTGATATACTAACAATTTTGTAGACCTATATTTGATTTTTGGGCGTTGAGCTTAACTGCTTATCATAAAAACATTACTTTCAATCCATTTTTGTATTCTGAATTTGTTATTCAAAGTAATAAAAAAAATAGATGTTGATTAGAGCTGTTATTTTAATGTAAAAACATGTAAAAGTTTAATTAATGCAATAAAAAGTAGAGTGGCGCAGATTTGGACCAGGGACCGACCACATGACAAGCGAGAACTCTGCCTCTGAGCTAAGCCCTGCCGTAGCGCCTATGCCATGTTTTACTTTACTTGAAAACCTACTTCTCTATTGCTTGTTGCAATTATTTGTTACATCAATAAACGTTTAGGCTTATTATTCATGGTTTGTAGACTCAAAATTAGAATATCACCAAATGGTTTTCAACCCAAATATTCTTATGCATTCGAATATTTGAAAACATAGGTTAGGGTACTTGAAAACGTTCCAAACAAAATGTCCTTAGACGATTTAATTACATTCAAAATTTGAGCCTTCTTTTCTTTAATCATAGCAAGCTAAATTTTATATGTCAGAATAAAACAAAAACCATACAAATTGTGTGAATGCGGCAGCAACAGATCAACATTTTTACCCAACTCTGTTGAGCGCCGCAACTAGGCCTACAACCGGCTACTACAATCACCGTGTTGATTGCAGCGACGCGACGCCGCGCCGCGCCGTCGGCGGGCTCACTGATGAACATAAATAATAGCGTTTTGATAAATAATATGTGATTGTTTTACTTATGTGTCTATACAGTTATTAATTTAAAGAAAACACTGCGTTTCTACAACTATTTACTTTTTGTATCAAATGAAAACAAAATTAAATCCCTTTATGAATGGTTTGAAAACCCGTGATTGAGGTTAGAAATTTGTTTTGAGAGTTTACCTTGTAAAGTTGGTCACGTGACTAGTAAAATACACTAGTATTTACTAGCGGTATAAAAACGTTTATGAAACACAAATTAGTAGGACAGGTAAATACGGGACTAGTATTTACTAGACTAGTAATTACTAGACTAGTATTTTTATGAAACAGGGCCCAGAAGATGTGCTACGGAAATCTTCACTCTTTAAAAATGTATGAGCGTAAACTAGGCCTACTTCCAGACACAGATTTTCACCAGCATTTGTTCATCTTGTCTCTGATGTATGTAAAATTTGTAAAACTGATTATTTATGTTTGTTCCTGCATTTTTGTCAATGTTGATATTTATTGTAAAATAACTTTACACCCTTCTTTGATCTCACTCATGCACTACTTGTTGCCATCCAACTTTCTATTTATAAATTGTAAATATTTGTATTGTTAATATTTTTGTTACTATTGATATTGTTAAGTACTACAATTGTTATTGTTCACTATTTGTAGAACTTTTACTATTTTGTTTCCTGTAATTTCAAGTTGTGAATGTTTTTCATTGTAAAGTGGCTATGCCGTTGGGAAGTAAAATAAATAAATAGATAAACTAGGAAACCCCGCCTTAAAGGGTGAAAATTGTGATTGGGAAAAGTATAATCAATGGGCACGAATACATTTTGTTGGTTTTGGTTGGCAGCTTTGAATTTGCTCATAATTTTCTTAATTTTTGTTGTTGTTCGGACTGTACTGTTCGATTCGAAGTAAAGTCAAGAAAAAAAATCAACAAAAAAGTTAAGCAAGCAAAAGAAAGCATGGTGGCGGTGAATGTCCCACCGGATAAATTGTAATCGTGGTTATTTTAACATAAATTACCTTTGTTGAATTATTTGTAAATTTCAGTGTTTATTACTACGAAAAAATGGCTTCATCACAGTAAGTAACAATTATTAATTTTCCTTTGTGTATTCTACTTTGCTTTGGCAACCAGGCCAGACTATTTCTGGACGTGTGCAATGCATCGCGTTGCCTCCAAAATCTTTGTTTAACAAAATTTTAGGAAAACAAAAGCAACAAGCAACCCATTTCTGCAGTGAGTCGGCCTGGAACGAGACATTGAGTTTATAACTATGTTCTAAGTATCATAATTGACACCTGCATCATAACTGTTTTATTTCAATCTTTTCATTAGCCTATTTGGAGTAGGTAGCTGCCTAACATGCTTTGTGGTATCTCTGCCCTCTGGCTCACTAGCTTATATTCTCAAAGCCTAGGCTAGGCTAATATAGAAATCGGCGTTATTTTGACATAACAGGATAAATAACATTGTTGCGGCTGCGGTAACTTTATCGCAGCAACACGTTGCGGAGAACTTGCTGTTATTCTCAGGGCCGTATTTACTATGAGGCGACTCTCACCAGAGAGGTTCCTCTTTATTCTGATTCTTCAAAGGTTTATTTATTTATTTTATTTATTTACCAACGGCAATACACCAATTTACAAAGATAAAGATTGAAAGCTACAACAGTGAATGTTTGTGTTTTGTGCTAGGCATTAACAACTATAAACAATGAAAAGAATAACAGTAGTAGAAATTAAAACTAGTAACAATAATAAATAATGAAATGAATAACAATAATAAAGCATTAAATGAACGGTCCAAAATCAAACGAGGCATCAATCTGAACGCCCAGGTCCTTGATGGTGTCACACCTTTCCACCCTGTTCCTGTCGTTGTTCTTTTTTCTACTGAACGTTATACATTTCGTTTTGGCTGGATTTGCTGACATATCATTCTCCAAACACCAACTGACGACGTTGTCGAGGGCTTCTTGAAGTAGTTGACAGTCAGAGAGAGAGTTGACTCCCACGAACAGCTTAATATCATCAGCGAACAGCAGAAAAGGCACCTTTATATTATCTTTAATGTCATTGATAAAGATCGAGAACAAGAGTGGGCCAAGATGGGAACCTTGCGGGACGCCGGGACTTGCGACGAAGCTAGCAGAGACGTGGGACTGAAAGACAACAGCCAGACGGCGACCAGACAGATAGCTCTCAAACCATCGAAGCATCGTGCCAACAACGCCATTGCCCTCCAGCGTAGCAAGAAGATGACGGTGACTAATCTTGTCAAAGGCTTTGCTGAAATCTATGTATATAGCATCAACTTGGCTATGTATATAGCATCAACTTGGCTTCGTCGGCTAAAGGCATCCATGACTTGGCACTGGAGCGAGAGGAGATTGGTCACAGTAGAGCGGCCAGAGGTGAATCCGTGTTGCTCGTCTATCAACACTTGTCTGAACAAGGACTGAACTATATCTAAGATTAGGCCTTCGAACACTTTGCTTATAACGGACAAAAGGACAATTGGCCTATAGTTCATAACGTCGCGGTTGTCTCCCGACTTAAATATGGGGACGACATAACCATTCTTCAGGACCGATGGAAAAGTGCCAGAGGACAGACTGCGGTTAAACAAGTATTGGAGTAGAAAGGCTAACTCAGAGTGGCAGAACTTGAGCACTCCTGGAGTTATATCATCTGGCCCGCTTCCCTTGGTTGCGTCCAGCGCCAGTAGCTTCCTGTCGACATCTTGAACTGAGACGGAGCATTCGGAGATAATGAAGGGGGTGTTGAACACACGCACAGGCAGTTCACCATGGTGAGTGGGAGAGTAGACGGACGAAAAGAAGTCAGCAAAGAGTTGACATGAAAGGTGGGAACATAAGGGTTTAGAAATGCATACATGGTATTGCTTCAACTTGATAAAGTAGGTAACCTTTTGTTTCCAACAATACGATCGGCAAAAATACCTAGGAGACTAGTAAATAAATACGGTCTATTTTTTTAAATAATAATAGTGGTCTTAGGTCGTAGACAGACATTTTTCATTTATTTCAGGTTGAAAATATTGACTTTCGGTCATCGGATCAAAATTGATTGGTTTTGAATTAGGTAGGTATGATTTAAAATACCTATATTAATTGTTTTACTATAATCGGTATGTACAAAATCAGTAATCACGGCCAAATGGTATGCCCCTTCTGTGGTCCCAGTAAAATCGTGGACATTTGCCATGGTCGCGGAGGGATCCTGAACATCTTCTACGTTTGTGGTAATATAGTGAACCTCCAGCGCAATCGTGGAGACATGTTCTTTGTCTCCTCCAATATGGTAGAATCATGGACGACTCCGACGATTCTTATGGCCGCAAAGAAATAGTTTTCATCTTGTGAGAGCGCTGAGACGTCATCGTCCTCTCCTCCGATCCCGGCGGAATCATAAATACCTTCTGTGGCCACGGGGAAAGAGTTAACATCTTATGTGAGTGCGGTAACATCATCTTTGCCTCCTTCGATCACGGCGAATCCATGAACGACTCCTATGGCCGTGGAGAAATAGTTAACATCTTGCACAAACTCGGAGGCATCATCTTCGTCTCCTTCGATCATGACAAATCTTAAAGATCTTTGAATACCTCGGTTGCGATAAAATCCTGGACATCTTCCCCGATCGCGCGTGAATAAATCAAATCAAATCATGTTTATTAGCACATAAACGTACAGAGGTTACAGATAAATGCACAAGTGCTTCGTCATTCTTCTTATAGCCTAATATTATATAATGTCCTCTCTTAAAATGTATTTAATAATAATAAATAAAATAGTTGTTTAACATTTGAGGAACTCTTTGAATAGACTAGCCAAAAGGTTTAATAAAAAAGATAATGTCAAGCTTAAAACTAAATAACAGGATTTATAGAATTTCATTATAAATAAAACATAAAAAATGTACAAAACATGTAACTTTAGTCATAACAAGGTCTTAATTAAAATTTCACAACAAAAAACGATATATATAATATGTAACATTTAAAAATCAACAAGATTAACATGGAGAAGGAACTTTTTACCCTATAAAATATTACCTATGGAAGTAACTGACCTGCTTATAACATTTGAGAGTCATTTAGAAAATCGTCAACTTTATAGTAGGCCTTTCTGATCAAAATACTCTTTAACGTTATCTGCAAATTGTGCTGGACTCATTGCTGTGTTTTTTGAGTTATTTGGAAGTTTATTGAACAATTTAATTCCCATGTAATGAATAGGCCTACTTCTTTCTAAAGATGCCGTTGAATGATGAGGGTATATAAGTAAATTCTGGTTTCTAGTACCAATTTAAATTATTTTTTACATGACACAGAACCTCAAAAATGTAGGTAGGCTACATGGTACAGTAAGTATTTTTAAACTTTTAAATACTTCTTTACATGAGCTTCCAGGCTGTTTGAGGGTCATGGCTCTTAGGAATTTCTTTTGTACTTTCAATACATTTTTTATTAATTTTGTTACGCCGCATAATGATATTCCATATTTCACTAACGGGTAAAAATAGCCATAGTACAAAATAAGTTTTGTTTCCATGCTGGTACAGTCACAGAAAACGTACTACTATAACCCAGAATGCCAACCGCATGGTAAAAAGCATTAAGTGTTTTGAGAGAGCTTTGCCTGTCAATCCGTAGGCAGCGCCACCAGCGTTGCTATGCTATTGCATGGCAACGCTGGTGGCGCTGCCTACGGATTGACAGGCAAAGCTCTCTCAAAACGCTTAATGCTTTTTACCATGCGGTTGGCATTCTGGGTTATAGTAGTACGTTTTCTGTGGTACATTGTGCAAGGCAACTCATATTAAAACAAATGCTATTTAATCTCTACCATAATGGTACATAATATGTTCATGCCACTTCAGATTTTCATCACATATTACCCCTAATAATAATTTCACAGACTTCTGATTCTTCAAATCATCATTGCCGACTGTAACCTTTATTTCACCCTCTCTATATTGCATACTTCTGAAGTGAATTATATTTGACTTGTCTGCATTCAGCAACAGTCCATTTATTCTAAACCAATTTTCTAATTCTTTTATTATTGTCTCTGCTGTAAATTTAATTTTTTCTGTGCTATTATCTCTAATTAATGCTGTAGTATCATCTGCAAACATTACTATATCTGTCTTTATATTCATTGGAAGATCATTATCATATATTACGAACAAAGCTGGGCCTAAAATTGATCCTTGAGGAACTCCTGACTTTACAGTATCATATTTTGATTCATATTTCATGTTATCTATTAAAGTTTTTTTGCTTTCTATTAGTTAAGTACGATCTAAACCATTTCAAACTGTACCCTCTGATTCCATATACTTCTAATTTTTTTAACAGGACATCATGGTCTACACAATCAAATGCCTTTGACAGGTCACAACAAATTGCTCTAGTCTGTGATATAGTCTGTGATCTGTCCCATGCCCTGTAAATATTGTCAGTTAGAGAGATGAGTGCTGAGTTGGTGGAGTGAGATTTTCTAAAACCATTGTTGACTTTTGGTTATTAATTTATTTTTCTCTAGATATTATAGAGAAAATAATAGTGACAACTCCTTTGTTAACGGCGAAATAGTGTAGATCTCTTGCGGTCGCGATTTCATCAACGTCCCCCTGCGATCGTGGCGAAACAGATAATCAAAATTATCAAGAAAAAATGTTAAGCACCAAGTGAGGTCTCCTCCTTGGCTGTGGCCTCAGCAATCGCCGTGTCCGCCATTAGGGAAATATGGCCCTGGTTATTCTAATAACATATCTATCTACAACGCGTTGCAGGAAAGCCACGCGGACAACGAAAACAAAAACATGTATTGTCGCAGAGCAACAATAACTTCAGAAACAAACTGAATCATTATTAGACTGTTGTTATATAAACGTTTTGAAAAACATTGAGGTCATAAGTCAAGAGAGAAACTCAACTGAGGCCTACTGCGATTACCTGCATGTGGCGGTAGGGGGAATTCTTTTGTGGCAGGAAATTATATCGTGGGAAATCCATGATTGGGCTCTTTGCTCTCATAATATCCAAATAT